TTAAGAGCTGCCTGTGTGTATGAAGGTTATTGGCTCTTTGTTTGTTACATGTTTTATAAATAATTTTGCCAGTGTTCTGCTTCTCTTTAGATTTTGCAAGGAGTGTAAGAGGAAAATTAAAAAAATATGTACTCAAACTTTCAAATTTTTCTTTTATGGCATCTCCCTTCAGTGTTATGCTTAAAAAGTCTTTCTCCACTGGTAAATTATGTAAATATTTTTGTTTCCATCTAGAATTTTTATAGTTTCATGTTCACATTTAAATTCTTCATCTGGAATTTGTTTAGATTTAAGGTGTGAGATAAAAATGAACTTAATTGTTTTTCCAAGTGGTTAGCCAATTGTCTCAACACCATTTTTTGAATAATATACTCTTTCCCCTCAGCTAGAAAGGTTACTTTATTTTATACTAAACTAACTTAAGTGTTTGGCTTTGTTTATGGACTTTGCTTTTCCTGTTCCAATGCTCAGTTTGCCTTTTGTGGCATCAGCCATCCATTGTTTCAATTACTTTGTATACATCTTAAAATTGGCTAGGGCAAGTTTCCACATTTTTTCTTGGCTATTCTTATATGTTTACTCTTCCATATAAACTTTAGAATTATACTGTTAACTTAAAAAGTCCCATTAGATTGTATTAAAAGTAAATATTAACTTGAAGACAACTGTTTCTTTATGATACTTAGTTGCTGTTCCATTTAATAATAGTGATCATGATAATAATAAATTAATAGCAGCAGCCAACATTGATCCACAGTTTGTTGTGTGCCAGATCCTGTTCGCTTCCCACGTTAAACCTCAAAACAATCCATGATAGGGGTGCTATTATTGTCATATTATTTTACGGATAGAGAAATTCAGGCATGAGGATGTTCAGTAACATGCCATGGTGACACAACTTTAAGAGAGAGCTAGGATTCTTTTCCTGGGTGGTTTGGTTCCAGTCCCTGTACTCATGTCTGGTAATTTTTGCCATAAGCATCTTTACTGTAGATATCTTTTGCTGCAAACGTGAATTGACCTATGGCAATTTCACTGGAAAAGATAAAATAATAAAAAATAAAAAAGGGAAATTTAAAAAGATAGACTGAAAAATAAAAAATTAATAACAAACTTAAAAAGACTTTACTGTGAAAAACAAAACTACATTGTTCACAATATTATACATTTTTGTTTGTTGTTTTGTCTTCTTGCTCGGCATAGCATTTTTCTGTTTTTGTCCCAATTTCTTACTTCTTTTAAAGAGATATGAGCTTCCAAATAAATAATTGATTATTAATGCTCTTGAAGACTGTGAGTTAGTAGCTGCTTCTCTTATATTTGCTATAGCTTGGCAAACTTTTGATTCTGATGGGTGGAAGAGATGATTGTGTTCACCTAAGGATTTGCAAACTGATATGTGATCATTTTCTAGAATAGTGTGCAATCTGGCTTCATAGTTGTTGTTATTGTCCAGTATTTTAAGACCATTATGTCTACTTGTCACTGGATAGACCATTATGAGGGCTAATATTTAGACATAACATAAAAATGGGTATAACTGCACAAGAACTCCGCCAATGGACAAATGAAACTGACAACTAGCTTAAACACATTAAGTTTGCCAAAGGTACAGCAAACTGTCAACCAGTTGTTTTATCCTTTACAGAAAAATTGCCCTAGTGCCAATTAGTGTTCAGCAAATATGTTTGCAGTGAAATGCTTGTGGTAAAAATGTTTATGACAAAGATGTTTATGGCTAAAATACCTGGACCCATATCAGATACTGGCCATCTGTCCCTTAAAGTCCGGTAAAACTTGGGTAAAAAAAATCTGGGTCTGGTGCTTTGGGTGGGGAGGGAGGGGTAGGATTTCTTCGTATCTCTCTTCCAGTTCATGCATTTCATCTTCATCTGTGTCTAATCACACTGCTTAATTCATCTATTAAGTTGTATTTCAGTGAATAAACTTTTTCAGTTCTAGAATTTACACTATGTTCTTCTGAAAATCTGCCTTTGTTTAATGTTCTGCCCCTTTGGTATGTTTTATCTCTTTATACACTTTAAATGTGTTTATTATACATTCTCTTTCAAATTGTTCTCTGTTCCCCTTTTCTTGCTTCTCCTCTTGTTTCTTTCGTCCATCTTTATATTGTTTGCCATTTGGTACTGTGAGCCCATCTTTGGAGGGGGTTGTTGACTGCAGGAATGCTGTAGGTTGGGCTGGACGTCCACTGCCTCTGCCAGGGCCACAGATCAGGATGGTCATGGACACATTTTGGGTGGTATAATATCTTACCTTTATTCTTCTGCCTTGAGTCATGAACAGCTTTTCCAGTCCTCATTTACTGTGTGGTGCAGTCCTTTGTAGCTTAATTTCTGCAGGGCATTCTGTTCTTGCCCACTGCTTTGCACAAACTGGTGTCCTGTATTTGCATCAGTATAAGGATCATGACCTGCAGACCTGCAGGCCTGGAGTCCACAGAGCTTAGCTTTCTGCTTAGATTATGCATTCCCTATTTGCTTCCTGTACCTAAGGGTTTCCTCCTCATTCCTTTGAACAAAGTCACATGTTACAACTTTTAAAACCATATTTTACCTAGAATTTCTGGACCTATTATATCAACCACATGTCCAGAAATTGTTTTGGATTTCTAAGTGGTTGATTCATTGATGTTATTTTTAAGAAAAGGCAAAGAAAGTGGGCGTTAACCTATGTTTTTTATTTTCTGGTTATACTTATCATCTAAGAATATATTTAAATAATTTTTAATTTTTGGCATTAATATGTTGGCATTTTACTTGTGTCTTAGTATAATAAATGTTTAAGGATGTTCATAGCCATTTAAAAAGGTATATGTATCTTTCATTTTTTATTCAAAGACTCACAAAATCATGTTAATACCTCTCACTATAAATATTCATTTTCAATTTGTTCTTTTATGTTTAACAGTTTTGCTTCATATAATCTGCTACTGTATTATTTGTTGAAGACTCTGAGGCCTGTATTATGTTTGTGCAGGCTAGAGAGCCACAACAGCCTTACCTTCATTATTAGGCTTTTAATTAGTCTTTTTCTAATTAATAACAACACTTATATTTTCTTGTTGTTATAAAACATAATGCAGCATTTAGGAAAAAAATCTTGAGAGAGGAAATATATACTATAAAAATGAAAGAACTCTGTAGGGGGCGCACACTCAACTTTCACACTGGGACTACTCAGGGATATTTCAAAATGTTTTCGAATAGCAAATACTTTTTGGAGACGTGAGAGTCTTTCCAAGTATTAAGAAAACTAACCAAATGTTTCAAATGTTTGGAATTACTCCAAGGCCAGGAATTCCAGATGTTTGTAAGGAAGCCATTGCATATCTCTGTTTAAATACTCAAGTGGGTTTTAAGATGGCAAGGAGGGGAAAAAAGGCATACCCTTCAATTCTTCCTCTGTAAAAGCAGGGTATTACCTACTCCATAAGGCTATCAGGGGGGCAAAACTAGGGGTAAGGGACAGGTCAATAAATGTGTGTGTCCTCCTGGTCCTCTGTTCTCTTTCTATCTCCCAGGGCTGTTGTGGCAAAAAGATGTGAAGCATTTAAAAGCACATAGCACTGTAGAAAATGCAGTATATTATTACTGTTCATCACTGCAGATAATGAATCAATAACTTTCTGTATGATGGATGCCAGATGCAAATAATAACCAGGCTTCTTGGACATCTGTCCTCCCGCAGTCAGTCTTCCCCTTGGCTCCTGGACAGCTGCACGAATCACACATGTCTTTAAATTAAGAACTTTCTTGCTACAAATGTCTTGTGAAAGTGCCAAGGTTATGATAATTCATCTTTTGCATGAAATGCACTTAGTTTTACTTTCATATTCCTGTATTTCATGTCAGATATTCACTCTGATGAGTTTCTTGGCAACTCCAAGCAAGAATCATCCAGGCTCAGAAGAATTCCAGCATCTACACATGCAAGCCTTACAGTGTGGCTTTTGGTTCATTCCGAACGAATAAGTTTAGACCATCTATTTTTCACTCCTGTGCTTGAGAGTCCCCAATACTTCGTTACGGAAAAGTCAAGCTTTATATCCCCTCACCAGTCAGCACTGGCACTGCCGCCGGGGAGGGGGTAACTCAGTACACATGCTGGCGGACTGGGAAACGAGGGCCCTGCTGCCTTTCCCGAGGAGAGCCGGCGTGTGGCAGGGGCTCGCTCTGTGCTCGCTGCGGGAAGGCCCTTCCTTGCACGGTTGCCCGGGGGTGGCCCTGCTGGAGGATGGGGCTGGGCATTCCCTTCCCTGAGCAGGCTGAAGGAACCCACAAACTCCGCAAGGACTTACTGAGGGTGACCGACTCGTTGATCTTGAAGCTGCAAAGGACCCTGTCCACGTTGCGAGCGTGCCGAAAGCCATTCCCTCTCACGACTACTTGAAATGATTCTGAAATGAAGAGTAACGACACGACACGTTATTTGACTGCAGGTCATTAACCTTGGGTGTCCCATCTTCTCTGATTTAGGGTGTTTGTCAACTATTTCACCAGGCTTAAAATATTTGAAAGTTAGTTCCGGTCAGAAACCCAAAGTGACCATGTGAGTGCCTTTTGTCACTTACTAAGAGTCCACAAGGAAGACTTCTTACTTTGAATTCCCTTCTTGCCTTTGCTCTTGCTGTTCCTTCTCCCTGGAATGCTTTCCTCCCTGTCTCTGTCATTTAAATGTTACCCACCTCTCAAGTCACCGAAATTTTAAAAACTGTGATCTCTGCAGCCTGAGGGCCACAGGGGAAGGAAGGACTCTCCGTTTCTTCTATCAACTCAACTACTCTTGTGTCTCTTTTACATATTGGATGCCCTTGAAAGGATTTCTCAGGTGCCTAACATGTCATGGCATTGGCATTCCCAGTCTGTCCTGAACAGTGATTACATACTATCTGGTGTTATTCTTTTGTCTTTTCTTCCACAACTAGAAATACATTCCTTTAAGTCGAGAATTATTTGATACTGCTTTGGCCCCCCTGCTCTGCAGGGCACACAGTACTCATACCTTGTGTAATGTAGTGGTAATTGAAGTTAGCAAAATATCAGAGTCTTGCTTATCCATGACCAGTTGTCAAGGGTTACCTGCTTGAATTACAGGTGATCCCTTACTGTAGTTAGTACTCACTTCTCTCTGAATAGAATGGAGAATACATATCACAGGTCTCTGGCCTTGCATATTAATTTCATGTTGGCATAATGCATGTTGAGTCAATTCATGGTAATAAAATCCTTATGAAGTAGAAATAATGATAGTTTAAAAATAGTCCTACCAAGGGGGCAAAAAAAACCCAGCCCTTGTTAATTAATTAGCAAAATGTTTAGGAATTTTGCTTAAGTTTGATGGTAGCTAACAGTCAATGTTCCACTTTCTTTTACTTTTGTCATCCTACTGTGTATAAAAATTGGGGCTTGGGATAATGCTGCATGGCATATTAAAAAAGAAATCAACTAAAATTCATAGGAAAAAATGCAATCTTTGTGAAAGTGGATCTTAAACTGTAAATTGCTATCCAAATAGAAATTTTTGTTGGAGGAAGAATGCAATTAGAAGACTAGCATATGGGACTGTTCCAAACTTTAATAAATGTCATGAGTGTATGTCACTTTAATTCCCAGGAAACTAACTGAGAGGTCTTGTTTGCCAAGAGAATAATAACTGATGTTAATTGCTCCCTCATTTGGTGCCAGGCCCTGTGCTCAGCGCTGTATGTGTCTGATGTCATTTAAACCTCCCCACAGCCCAAGGAGGTGAAAATGAGAAAACGGAGGTTCATGAGGTTAAGTCATCTGTCCAACATCATACAGCTAGTAGCTGTCAGAATCAGAGCTGGAATCCAGGTCTGTCAGGCATCAAACGCCATGTCCTCAGAGCTCGGCCACTGTGCTCTTTACCACAATGCTAAAATGGATCCTCATTGTCTTGTGACATATGACTAATCTAAGAGATTGATGTTGTGATTTTTTTTTAAAGCTTATTTTATTTTTATTTTAAGCAGACTTGCCCATTTTGCAGAAAAGTGGAGCTGGCCTGGATGGACAGCAAGAAACCGAAACTGAAGCAAAAGAACCCAGAGGCACTGCATGTGCCACAAAGAGAACAATGAGAACAGAATGCTTTTTACAAGTATAATGAACCATAACAAGGAACTTGAGATTCTGACATTTTAAAGAACTTGCCCAAGGTCAAGAAATTAGTAAGCAGCAAAACTGGGACTTGTATCCAAGTGTTCACTGCCTTAGTTTAAAACTGTATTAATTAAGGTCATGGGCACATGGTCTTTCAGGACCATAAGTCCTATGAATATTAAGTATTTATATATCATATTAATGCATATACACAATTGCTAAGTTTAGAAGGATCTGTGACATGATACCACTGGTTCAACAACATTGTGGAAGAACCCTTTGTATCTTATTTACTCAAATTAAACCTATAGAAGCCTCTTTCTGGTTTTAGTTTGAATGCTAGGCTTCCAAAAATCTGCCACTGAACGCTTTTGTTGATTCAAGATGTTTTCTGTCTCATTTCTGTGCCTACTTCTGGTTTCCTCCAAGATCAGCGGAGAAGAAGAAGACCCTGGAAACGCAGGCTGCGTGCCGAGGTCTCTTCTCTAACAACATCACATGTTCTAGCATTACCGGCTCGGCTGCTGAGTCCTCTATAAAAGAGGCTGCCCGCGCCTCTGGTTGGCCCGGCCTCCCGGGGTTTAGGGAGAAAGACAGCAGGAACCCATGACGTGGCAATGGTGGAAACCCAACAATTTAACCCCCGAGGCCTGAGAGGAAGGTGGAGGAGGTAATGCTCTGGAAACACAGGGGAGGCGAGCTCCCACCCTGCGGGGTGCAGTTGCTGTGCTAGTGCGCACATGTGGTTTGCAGAAGAGCCCAAACATCTGACTCAGCAGCCCGACTAGAATGTCAGCTCATCACACACACAAGTTATGTAACAAAACCCTGTCAAGTGAATGCGCCAGCAAGTGAGAACCAGGACATAGCGATTTAACTCCCCTTATCCACAAAGCCCCAAACCTACCCTTCGAAATATGCTCAGCTAAGTGTTCTTAGGCAATTTGCACATTGGGTTAAAGCTTTTAAGAGGTGTCTAGGGATTATAGGGCTTTAGGAAGGAATTTCTACTTGAAAACCATATTTAATCTAATCTTTTAAGACACATATTTTTAAAGGTATCTTTAAGACATATGTTCATTATGATTCTCTTGTCACTCGTATTCTCAATTATAATTTTAGCTTCCTGATGGTAGAGGCCGTCATCTCTATTTCTTCAGAAGCTTTGACTGTATCTAACTCAGGGCTGAGTCAGTCTCAATATAAGCTTATTGAATGAATAAATAAATGACATCTTGGTTTAGAAAGGGAATAAAGGGGAAGGACAAGGTGGCCATTTATTCAGGTACCAGTTGGGTTTAATCCTGTTTGTTTTCTGAGGATTAATAAGGTCAATGAATGAAATGATGTTTAGCATCATTAGTCCTTAGGGAAATGCAAATCAAAACCACAACCAGATATCCCTCTACCCTCACTAGAATGGCTACAATATGAGGGACGGATAATAAGTGTTGGTGAAGAAATTGGAGCCCTCCTACACTGCTGGTGGGAATGTAACATGGTGTATGTGCTTTGTAAAATAGTTCTGTAGCTCCTGAAAAAAATTAAACACAGAGTTACCTTATGACCCAGAAATTCCACCCCTATGTATACATCTGACAGAACTGAAAATGTAGGTCTACACAAAAGCTTGTACATGTATGTTCACATTCTTCATAATAGCCCAAAATGTCCATCAGCTGATGACTATGTTATTCTTAGAAGGGAATATTATTTACCCATGAAGTTCTAACACATGCTAAGACATGGACAAACCTTGAAAACATTATGCTAAATGAAAGAAGCCAGATACAAAAGGCCATATATTATATTCTTCCACTTATATGAAAAGTCCAGATTAGCAAACCAATAGAGACAGAAAATGGGTTGGCTGTTGCCAGGGCTGGAGGAAGGGGGAAATAAGGAGTGACTACTTTGGGTTTCTTTTTGGATGATGAAAATATTCTGGAATTAGACAGTGGTTATGGCTGTATACCTTTGTCAATATATTAAAACCACTGAATTTATTTTTTACAGGGGTGAATTTTATGGCATGTGAATTTTAGCACAATTTAAAAAAGAAAAAATTAAGGTCAGTGACTTATTCCACTCTGTTCCTTTCTTTTGTATCTTATTTTTTTGAAATGTGGAACACATAATTTTGAAATGACTTTAATAAAGACTGAAAATGAGATACCTCTATAGTCTCCATTTTCTCTGGTTTTCTAAGACTTCCCTGGAAAACTATTAGTGATATTTCATCTTGTGAGTTTGCATTTGCTCTCCTATTAGATGCTTAATGTAACATCTACAATATAATACAGTGACTAATGTATGTTAAGTGCTTTCTGATGCTTAAATTATTCTAGAATTTTAAAATTGTATAGCTATTTATTTCTTTATAACAGCTTTAATGAGGTATAACTGACATACAATCTTGCATATAAAGTATATAACTTAATAAATTTTGACATATGTATATAATCATGGGACAATACCACAATTGAAATAGTAACCACAACCATCACCCTCAAAAGTTTCCAGGTGCCCTTTGCAATCTCTGCCTCTGTCCTTCCCCACCGCCACTTCCAAGCAACCAGCGATTGGCTCTCTATTATACATGTTTGCATTTTCTAGAATTTTATGTAAATGAACTCATACAGTAAGTAATTTTTTGTATAACTTTTTTTACTCAGCATAATTACTTTAAGACTTATTCATAATTATTTTGATGTTTATGCAGTCTATCCCTATCTATTGCTGAGTATTATCCATTATGTGGATAAACAGTAATTTGTTTATCCATTTACCTGCTGATAAACATTTGTGTTGTTTAGTTGTTAAAACGGGATGGTTATAGGCACTTGTATGTAAGTATTTGTCTGGCTATACATTTCCTTTTCTCTTGGGTAAATGCCTAGGACTAGAATGGCCATGTCATATGATAGGTATGTGTTTAATTTTTTAATAAACTGTCAAAACTGTCTTCCAAAGTGATTTTGCCATTTTTACATTCCCCCAACAGTATATGAGAATCCCTCCTCCAAACAGAAATATCTTTAAATGAAGAGGAAGATGGAGCAGAGAATTAAACTATCCATCCAGAGAGGTGCCTAAGGGCGAGGCATGAGTGCTTTGAAAAATAATGAAAAGGGAAAGAAATGAAAAAGCTATTTGATGTTGTTAAAATGTGTCCGTTTTTAAGCATCTGATTTCCAAATGGTAAACGCGAAGCCTAAAACTACCTTCCTTTTCTGCTCCCTCACTTAGTTTTATTACAAACAGTGGGAAACAACACAGCGGGAATAATACAACTGCTCCTGAAATGACAATGTGAGGAGCTAATTATAACCTCCTTCCATTTCTGGAGTACAAACACTTCAAATGTGGAGCAGTTGGCAGGTTGCACACTTGATTCCAATTAGTTCCTTCTTGGACTGCTTGCTTACATAGTGCGCTGTGAACCGTTCAAATTCACGGCCAACTGAGTGGGGCCCGAGGAAAACCGTGCTTAGGCGCTTAGGCAAAGGGGTGCATTTCCTACAAAAGAGCTAAACTAGGCTGGGCCAATTCTAATTATACAGAGACTCAGCTGCAAAAATATTTCATTAGGAACATTAAAAAAGAGTCTGTATTGGAAGGGAAGCAGAATTATTTAAACCCAGCTGATGTTAAAGGTGCTATAAGGCTCTCCATACAGCAGGTGACTTCCTACATGTTTTAGAAGAGGGACAGTAAATACAGTGACAGAAGAACCATGCTAAATGGTGACCACAGGGTTGGCCTGAGAATTAGGTGACAATAGGGACTGTTGAGGAGTATGGTCAACTGAAAAGAGTACATCTTTTAAAGGGAAGTATTCAGTCTCCAATAATTATTATCTTGCAATAAATACAGGCCCAGTGTTGCTAGATCTGATTTTTCAAGACAAGATGAAAATTTGAATTCTTAGGTGAAATCAGATTTTTAAACGTTAGCAATAAATTTAAGATATCTTAAAAAAAATACAGTGCGGACCAAAAAGAATGTATGTGTAGCCCAGACAGGATTTGTAGGCTGCCAGTTTATAACCTCTGGTGGTGGTTTCCAGATCATCTCTTCTCCTATGGACATGCCTTTGTCATGCCATTCTTAACATACGGGGCTTGGAACCATAGTCTGAACCGGGAATAGTAGGACGTGGAATTAGCTCTCTTGACCTGGACACTGGATGACTACATCAGCTTTTTTTCTTTTTTGGTCAGAAGCAAACTTGTTAGAGATCAAGATAGCAATGATTCTTCTTGTCATTGCTTTTCCCTACACCTGCTTGGATGCGAAACTGGCTATTTGAACCCAAGTTCAACATTTTATATATATTTGCCTATTAAATTACACCCTGTTCTTTGCAGCCCAACATATAAAGATCTGTGTTGGATCTTAATGCACCCAGTGCATTATCTCTCTAAACTCTATCAATGTTCTCCCCAATATTTTTTCAGTAGAGAAACGCACAGGCATGTTTTTCTCATATAGGTATAATGGTATCAACATTAAGATTCTCACATTGACCTTTAATCCTCATTAAAATGATATTGATGATAATAATGTCCCCTTGTTTTGCATAACAGTCTATGCTTTTCAAAGTACTTTCATGTAACTGGAAGGAGCCTGGCAGGAGCCTGCAGAAAATCACAGAGGGGGTCTGCCTAGGTCTACTCGACAGGAGTTCATAGTCATGGACAACAGAATAGGCCCCAGTGCTTCATGAAAGCCATGTTTACTCCAGAGAATGATCAGCAATGGACCTTAAAGAAACCCATGGAAGGTCTTTTGGTGTAAGGATTTCTTTAGAAAGCTTCATTTTCTTCTTAGTAAAGTTATTCTCTAATCAGCATGGTTTAGCCATTTTAATTCTAATTCAAGAGATATGGGAGCTTGGCTCTTCAAAACCTAGGGTAGCTTCCATCACTGTGTCTTATATTAATTTTTTCTTTATAAGAAATAAAGGAAATAGAATTGGATAGTTTACTCAAACACTGGAAATGATGGTTTGTCTACAAAATGTCATATTGCACATAAGCCAGAGATTTAAAAAAATATCTTAAGTAAGGTTCCTTGGATTGAATTTGCCAGAGATTTGTCTGTTCTATTGATTCTACCAAAGAAACAGCTCTTAAAAAATTTATCAATTGAATTGTTTTAACTTGTTTAAATTTATTAATGTATTTTAATATTTTCTTCTTGCATTTTCCTTGGCTTAAAAAAATCCTTTATTTATTTTTCTTTTTCATCTCATAAGAAACATATCAAAACCAATGAATTTTCTGTGATCAGTTCTCGTGGACCCTGATATTTCTGTGACATCATTTTACATGTGCGGTCTTTTTCATTGTCTTGAATACCTCAATGGTATGTAAAGATTTCGTTTTACCAATCTTTGATTCAAGAATTATTTAGGAAGATACTTTTCTGCTGTCCAGGTTGAAATTTTGTTTTTATTTTTCCCTTGCTCTTTCTGTCTTTGGTTATTATTTTCTAATTTTTCTTTGTTTTAATTAGACAGTTCAAAGGTATGACAACTTCCTAAGGGGAATTGAAAGGAGTTAATAAGGGTGAAATTAGCAAAAACCAGGGCGTTGTCTGTTGAAGGAATATGGGAATCAGGGCCTTCAGTCAACAGGTATTGACTAATGGTTAAGTGCCACGTGGTCTATTCGGACGTGGAGAGAAATAAAGTTCCTCATCTGTCCTCAAGAGCCCTGAAGGAGGCGACTTGACTGTGCTAGAGAATGAACAGAAGTGCACGCATTGTTGAGAGTCTGATTCACTACAAGGCTGGAACACATTCAGCAGGATTGCTGGACTGCAAGCCTGGGTTTTCCTCATCAATGGGGTAATTGTACAATTAAGGAACTCCCCTGTTTTCCCGTTATTTTTAAATGAAGGAACTATAAAAATTGTGGGGGCAGGTTTACCTTGAAGCTTATGAACACTGGTTGAGGCTCCTCACTACACAGACCCCTTTCAAGGCTCTGGCACTGGGTTCACGTGGTCATATGCTTTTGTCAGATTTGCAAAGGTAAGATTTTTCAATTCCTTTTCTATATTTATTGATTTTTTTTTTTTCTTTTTTTAGAGAGAGGGAGAGAGAGAGATACTTCGATTTGTTGTTCCACTTATTTATGCATTTACTGATTGATTCTTGTATATGCCTTGACCGGGGATTGAACCTGCAACCCTGACATATCGGGAGTGATGCTTTAACCAACTGAGCTACCCAGAGAGGGTCTCAATTCCTGGGTCTGTCTCTGTAGCAATTGCAGCTGCCCCTGCCGTCTGTCTTACCAGGTAGCAATATTTAAAGGTCAGTAGATAATCTTGGTTAATTGCTTTTCTTTGGGAAATTTATACATCTCTCTGAATCGTCATCAAGTATTGTTAACAACTTTGTATGTTTACATATATACTTAATGTTTTGTTGTTGGCAAATATTATTCAGTTCCTCTAATTCCTTGAAAGTCTTTCAGTTATTCTAAAATGCAGTGTAGCCAACAAACTGGAATGAAATCATTAAGAAATTACTTCATTTATACCAAGAACATGTCATAAAGAATCAAAATGTATATTGTTTGAAAAAGACTGAAAGTTGTTCTTCAATGCTTATAGGGTTGTATAATATATTTTCTGTGATAAATTAGTAACTGGCACTGGTATTTTAGAGACTAGGAAGGTGATATTGACAGTAACCTCTCAATGGTGAAAGACTCGAGCTCCTGGAGCACAGGCACTCACAGGGAGCTTTGTGTCTCCAGCAGCCAGGACAGTGCTTGGCATTCAGTAGGTGCTTATTAATACTTTTTAAATAAATAAGGGCAATGGGAAGCCTGTCAGGACTTATAAAAAAGCCCTGCGTGGTTGAAGTTTTAGGCAGTCTGTTACAATACAAGACAATAACAAGACCCCAATTTGCATCAGTTAAAGACAATATTGTGATTCAGAGAAGGCTGATTTTTGTCTAAGTGGAAACTTCCTGTATAAAGGACAATATTATAATGATCCTTTACTAGGGCAATTGGAGTTGCCTACACTATTTTGTGAGGACTGGTAGATTGAAAAATTAAGATCAATATTGAATTATGGAGAGAGGCCAGCACCAATTAAATAATTAAATAGGTCAACATTCCAGGGGTGGCCTGTGATCACCATGATCATGAAGGGCTGCCATGAGCATGAAGGGTTAGACTCCACTTCTATTCAGATCAGGGTGTTGGTGATGTGTGGGAATCCAGTGGTATTTCTGCAATACTTTCATAATTAATCCCGTGAAAAGAGGGAGTTTGGGCAGACTTTTCCCAAGTTTCAAACAACTGACATGTTGCTTCCTTCTTTTCTTTTTTTCCTAAAAGCAAATATATTTAGCAATTTCTACTTCTCTCACCACCCCCTCTTCCGGTCTTGCTTCCCTTCTTTCCCACCAATGAAGTCAACATGTGATTTGAGCTTAAAATTTCATTTGTATGAAAGCAATTAGCACTTAATTTCAATTTACCTCCTGCACATATGGTGGATGGTTCAGCGGCTAGAATTTCGATGCAGGACTTCTTCAAAATCTAGAAGGAGAGGAAATAAGAAAGTCAAAGTACAGCTTATTTGTTAAAACAGAGAAGTAGGGTTTGCTTTTAGTTCCCAAGACAGTAAGAGTCGAGCACATTCTGTTGCAGTGGGTGGGTGGGGAGCACTTTACTAATGTCCTTAATGTCAAACACTCAGTGAGCCAACATTCCGTTAGATGCCGCCGTAAGAATCATTCATTCATTTGTTCTTTCGGCAGGTATTTATTGAGTCTATGATATGCCAGACCTAGCTGTGGAGAGGTTTGACATCTTGTTGGGGAAATATACAAATGAAAAGACAAATAACAATGGCTGGTCATATGTGATAGGTGCCAGGAGAAGGGGCAGACAGAAGGAGCTGTGGAGCTCATGGGGCAGAGATCACTGAGGTCTGGTACATTGGGAAGGACTTCATGGAAGAGATGGGCGCTAAGGGTAGGACTCAGTCAAGTGAAGTGGGGTGAGTTAGGGGCAGTTGGGGTCCAGGCAGGGAATGGCATGAACAAAGGTGAGAAAGCAGAAACACACAAATCTCTTTAGCTGGAACAAAAGGAGCTTGAAAGGTAGAAAAGAGAAGAGTGACAATAAAGCTGGAGAGCAAGAGGCAGAAGGCCAACCCTCTAGAGGGTCATTTTCAGATTACTGTACTCAGTTCCTTTTTTGTTAGAAAAGGTCTGGAAAGAAGTTGATGAAGAGGGTTTTGAAAGCTGCTTTGCTGTGTCCCACTCTTCAGGAGGATTCCCTACTCTTTACTTAAGTGGGAAAGTAGTTTTCCCCCAAAGGAGAGTCTTGTAGGATTGGGCGGAGTGTATGGGGGAATCTCATGACTCTTAGGGAGTCAATAAAGAAGGCTTCCTATGGCCAAAGCAGGGTATCTGGCTGGTAGGGTTTAAGCTTCTCTCCACAGTCTCTAAATCCTGTCTCTTATCTAATATTGATTATAAAATTTCAACCAAGCATTTTAAGCAAGTATAGGACACTGAGTTAATTTACTAAGCAAACGCAGTATCTTTATTTGGGCCTTAATTTGGAAATTGAGATGGTTCAGAGGGCTGAAGGAAACCATTTTTTTATTTATGAAAGGGTTAATTGTTAGAGGAATTGATGATGAAATTATAAAACTTAAAGTCAGTAAAAGAAAAAGTATCTTCTTGCATTGGGAAACACTCTTATTTGTGTTGGTGTATTTATTTATATATGTTCCTCTGTTCCAGCTTAAGTGAAACATGCCGTGAGTTACAATCAAATAAAAGACACAATAAATTACAAAGAGGAGGAAATGGATTATAGGAAAGATAATGAGAAGATGAAAAAAGGGGTGAGAACATCACAGAAAAAATATACTGTGAGGAGTTTATTTCCTTGCTAGGAGGGGCTCATGGATTTAGTTCTCAGCTTTCTAGTAGCAAATGAGGATAGATAATATTTATGAGATTCTCAGTCTGTAGAATGAAAACAAGCCAGTTTCTCAGAAGAGAAAATATTTACCCATTCCAGAGAGAAATCTGGATGTCCTCGTAGAGAAGCATTGGGAAAGGAAATGAACAACATGCTTCAGAAAATCTTGATCTCATGTGCAGATGACAAAACATTCAAGTGTACCCACTGAAACACGTGCCCTCACAACCATGTATTTTAGGCAACTCTATAATACCTGGAAGTCATAAAAAGCAGCTTTTCTTTTTTCGATAGTTCTAAAATTCAGATTTCCAGCTACATTCCTTTCCATTCTTGTATAATTTAAAGGTATTTTTGTACTTTGATCCTGCTATTTGTTTTCAGCTTCCCCCTGATTTCACAGTGGGAAGCAATTTGTGTCTTTCGGTCAGCACTTGCCTTCTTTCCTTGGCCTCTGGCTTGCTTACCCAGCCACCTCTGCCCCCACCCCAAACACAGGACAGTTTCTGCTAGTCCCCAAACCTGTTCCAGCTGTAGAACGATTCGTGTGCCCCCAAATCCCAGCACCCAGAGCCCATCTCTGCTAGAGTCAGTGGTCCTCACATAGCTGTCTCTGGGGACCTGGCATCACCACTAGCTCTTGAGTTCCCTTCATTGTCACTGTGACTTGGGATCAGGGACCCCAAGGATAGATGCTGGGCTTCCGAATTTCCTTGCTGGCTTCTCCACTCTCTTCTTTCCCTGGGATGGTCTAGTCTTTTAGGTCTCTTATGTAAGCAGCAGCGTCCTAGGATTGGGGCTTACCAAGATCTTGATATGCAGGTAACAACTATCTAACTTGAATTGCGATGATAGTTCACAGTCTCCCCCCAATTTGCTGTCATTGGTCTTCCTGCCTGAGGGAACACCTCAGCCAAGGGTTGACATGACTGAGCCACCCCCTTCAACATGTCCTCAGGCAAGTCTTCACACAGGCCACACTGGAAGAAACAGAATTCACCCACATGGAGGAACTTACTAAACAGTGGCCTTAGAACAACCGCAAAGCTACTTTTTGATGTTTTAAGTAAAATTCCTGAGGCATTTGACATCCCTTAATAAATCACTTTATCATCCACAACAAAAGATTTCAAAAACAGTTTAAGGATAAAAATTGAGCTATTGGATCTATCCTGTCCCCATCCCTAACTCCACCAAAACACATAAATGAAATTTTTCACCCATGTAAATTCTTGACTTTGAACCAATGTTTTTGATCCAACTCTAATACTTAACCAGGGGTCAATAAAGGCAACACCCGTGAATCTGGAACTGCAAAGACACACTCGCAGGGGCTGTCATCATAAACACATGCTGCATTATTCTCTCAGTGTCTGCAATTAGCTGATAAATCTAAGGAGTGTATGAAGGCCCAAAAAATGTCAGCCAAGCGCTGTGATTCAATCCAGTAAAAACATAACTTTCCCAATCTTAACTTAAAACATCTGGAAGGAATGCATTGCCGCCAATAGAGTAAAATTTATCAGTGAGGGGGATGGGCAGGATTCGTCTGGCACTGTGGCTTCTATTAGCTTGAAATGTCTGGTTTCAAAAGGTAGGAAGCCACAGTGGCACTGAGTGGATTTGGGGGGTTCCCTTGGTTATTAGCAGCCCAGACTGTACGGTAATCAGTCTGTTTGAACTTCCCCACCGCAGATCAGCTTAGGGTCTGGAGACTAGATTGGGGGAGGGGGGGAGGCGAAGGGTGCGTTGCTCCATCAGAGCAGTGGTAGCCATGGAAGAGGTGTGGACATAGCACTGGGGAATCATCGCTGGAATGAAATCACTAGATGGAGTGGAAGGGACTCTGACATCAGGGTGATGTCAGAGCTGAGAGTACAATTGGCCTGTAATAGAGACTCGTTAGACCACGACTTGCCTCAAATATAATCCAATGTGAGGGGTTAGGTCCTGGCCCTGATCCTGTACTTACTTGAGCTAGGGTCCTTGACAAATCCTTTAATTTTTCTGAACCCCAATTTTGGGGACCAATTTAACATACTGAGTAACATTTTAGAATCTGGAATCCTATTGCTTGGGGCAGCTCATTCCTGAGCATGTGACCTTGGGCAAGTTGTGTAACCTCTCTGAGTCTGTTTCCTCAGCTGTAGAAGCGGGATAGGAACAGTACCTACCGAGTAAGGTTGCTGAGTTGGGAAGACTGAATGAGGTAACGTGATAAAGCCCACAGAGCAGTGCATGGAACCTGCTGAGTAAGTCCTCAGCTAATGGGAGCTGTTATTAAAGGTTAAGTACTTGGGCCCTGGGGGCAGATAGATTTGGGCTCTAAATAGATTTATGTTCAAAATCTAAACTCTACCCCTTACTGGCCATGTGGACTTGGACAAGTTATCAAAACTCTGAACCTCAGTTCCCCCTTCTGTAAAATGGGGTAAGAAAAGCACTGACCTGAAAGGGCTATAGGGCTATGTGATGGTAAAATGAGTAATGGATGTGAATGCAGAGACACTTAGTTTGTAAAGTGAATTGGACTTAGGTGGCAGCACTCGGATTGAAAGGCAAGGAAGAGAGAGAGATTCACGGAAATCTGACAAGGTTTCCGTTTATGGACAGGTCAAACAGATGTGATTGGTCAATAGACAGTTATTGACAATCCTTGGGCCACCAGCCAGAAAGTGCCCTTCATGAAAAAAAGTCACCAAGAAACGTGTTCAGAACAACCGTAGTAGTAAAGCACTTAGGAGAATGTCTGACATACAAAAGTAGGTTTACGGTGGCAAGTATGCGAAACACAGTTTATTCTTGTGTTGTTACTTATTAATTACTGTAATATTTTCCGTATGAACAACTGCAAAGCTTCTTTTGCCCATTTCTGTATATTCGGTCCTCAAACCATGGAGCTGTTACTATTAGTTTTGTTATGACCCCAACTGCTGCTCTTTCTACTAGGCCAAGATTGCAGCTCATAGATGCTTATAACCCATCAGCAGCACTGGCTTCATGCTTAATTTGCTGGAAAAAGAAAAAGATGGCTAATAATAGTATCCTGCCACCTCTTGGAAAGATTTCAAAAAGAAGATATATGGGGAAACATGTTTGAAATCCATAAAGAACTATATAAATGCGACGTGTTGCTACTGGTATACTTACTTTTGCACATCTCCTTAGATCGCTGGCAGAGGAAGAGAGGAAGCAGATGTGAAAGAACTTTGCCAAGTAATAAGAACTACTCAGTATATTTAAAGTGAAATCCATTGTGAACCATTTCAGGTTGTATATAAGAGTTTAGTTTTTTGGAATCTAAAAACCTCAGGTCCTCTTTCATAAAGTTCTCAGTTTATACAGAGATTTTGCAAGAACCCTTAAAGGATTATAAAAGTTTGCATAGAGTATTAGGAACACATTCTTTGCCACAGGCACACCTAATTTTTTTTCTAATTGCTCTGCCTCCCTCCCCAATAAATAACCAATCTTTATTCACTTGGCCATTTCCTGTTAGATAATTGTGCGTGTGTGTGTGTGTGTGTGTGTGTGTGTGTGTTAATAAAAAACCAGACTCTTTTATTCATTCATTGAATGGTTAGTTTCACACTCAGGGA